GTATTTTTAATACCATCATTTGGTATTAAAAAGTAGAGACTGTAACCACTAATCAGAATATTTTCATCTCAGTGTATTTCTTTATAACAATTCTTTCATTTGAAATATAATGGGGGAAAAAGATAGTATGGGAATGCTTTTCTAATGAGAGCTTCAGTTCCGAAACTTTCCAGTCATTTGTTGCAAAATGATGAGGAAAAGGTAAGAACCAGCTCATGGAAGTGAGGGAGAGAAACAGAAGGAGGTAAAGCTAAACTGATCCCTTGTTCTTTAAAAACATGTAGTTGGGCACATTTTTGTTTAAAACCAAACAATCAATCTAGTTTTTAGTCCAGTGTTATATATTAGAAATTTTTGTAACGGAGAATTGTCATTCTTCAGCTTGCCCTGTTACTGAGATTAGAAAATTTATGCAACTACCATAACACAGCTCTTGTCCTATTATGAACTGTGCTCTAAGAATGAATGCTGGTATGCCAAGAATAAAGGTTTTCTGATAATGCATTATTTTTTTTTTTTTGCAGCCCACAAGATTTTGCAGAGAAAGAAGCTTAAAATAACAGAATTATTTGTATGGTACAATGATTATTATTGTTTTATCATTTTGCTAGGATAACATAAACATTGATTGTAAATTAAAAAGCAGATTACTCATTATCTGCGTTTATACCATCAGGGGATTTCAATACAAATTAAAAGAAGTTTAATTTTAAGCACATGCTTTTTCTTTGTTTTGTTTTGTTTTCTTTTCTTTTTGTTTTTCTTTGTCCTTTTTTTTTTAATTGTTTTCCTGTGATATTTTATGTCTACATATGGAACAAATGAAAGAATTTAACAATATAATGTCAATGTATAGGAAAACAACTTTTAATATAATTGGCATTTAGGTAATTCAGTAGTTAGTTATATGGCTTTCTTATTGATAATTGAACCCTGCTGGACTTCTGATTGATGTTCTTTGATTATTTTGATCAGCATAAATGTGGACTTAATGATTAATGAAGACATACAAAGGAAGCACAATTTCCTGTTGGGATTCAAGATTAACTGCACTAGAAATTTAGAATAAATATAGCACCTTATAATATGAATTGTATTCATTATTATTTGATTTATTATTTCTTGGTACATTTTAGCATCATGTGCTAAATCCATCAATTAACCTTAGCTAGGCCTAATAGGCTTCATTTAAATTCTGTAATTTCTTATTTTATCTTGAAATTGCATGCTCATAAATATGTTGAAATTTATGACTTATCTAAACAACCTGACATTAGTGATTGCATAAGATGCATGCAACAGTTAACCGATGAATTACCTTTATTTACAAATGTATTTCATACTTTACTCAGTCTAGTGTTCACAGATCTTGCAGTGTTTTCACACTCCCTAGGTTTATCTGCTTTATTTGACTGCTGACAAAGTATGGAATTTTAATCTTTTATTGTAACAGTTTGAAATGAAGAGAAATTTGTGTTATACTTTTATTGCTGCCTAAATTGCTGCCAGAAAATCTGATTGAAAGTACTGAAGAAGCAGCCATGAAAGGAAAGAGCAAGCAATCTTCCATTCTCTGTATTATAGCTTGACACATATTGGATCAGTGTCTTTTTGTGCAACAGATAGTCTGGGATAATGAATAGCAATTTCATGCATGTTACACACAGGCAAGTCTTATTGCTCACCTTTTTCCTACAGTTTTCTTAAAAATCGAACTGGATTATGAAGTCTACTTCAGTTGCCACATTCTTAGCATGAAGTAAAAAGACATTTTGCCCAAACCTTGCCTGGAAAAAGCTTAAATTTAGAAATATATTCCTTTGAAAAAATGAACAATTTCTTTTATGGAAAGGAAACTCAGGTGTGCAGGCTGGAAAGCTGCCACTCTGCACTGCTAACAGGTCTCTGACTTGAATGATAAGGGGACCAGGACTTGCCAGCCTGCCACAGAGACACTTACCAAGCAATTTAGATGCAGCTTTACTTACTGAACTCCACATTAAATGTAGATAGATGTTTTTGCTCCGTATATTTTGACTGCATGCTCTCCAGGGCTCTGCACAGATATCTGCCTAATGTGGGTGACTGGTGTCTTTTTAGATGCCATACCATGCATAAAATTTTCACCCAGGAGTGGCAGGTATGGTACAGGACCTAACTGTGACTCCCATCTTTTGGAGAGGCATCAGGAGGACAGGTGAAATTTTTAGGGTGGCTGAAAGAGCATCAAGCACCTCTATTCAATCTCCTGTGTCTCCTCATCCATTCAAAGTTTTAGATGACATTTTTCATGAGCAGATTTGACTACTTCTGTTTTTCCTGGTTCTGACTACATATGTTTGTGCTGTTTGTTTGCTGTAGAGGTGATCATGTTGTCACATTAGGTCACACTGTGATCCTACTGTGATCAGTAGTCACACAATGTGTAAATGGAGTTGTATTAACTCCAATCCACATATTTTCATGTAAATTTGTTGCCAAATAATTTGAGTAGGTGAATGGAAGAAACAGAACTCCCGTCCTACCACTCCCGAGAAGAAAACAGAAGATACTTTGTAGCTAAGACCTTATTGGAGAAGTAGAGCAGCTTTTTCCACAGAAACATTTTCATCCCAAGATGCTGAGTACATGGCACGTAAATTTGAGTTGAAGCTGATCTGGGCTAAGCTTTCTCCCTGTGGTTTTAAATAGATCCATATTTATGGAGCTGTTCAGAAAAAGCAATATGTGTTGAACATATATTCTGAGTCTCATGTTTCTCCTTGCAAAGGAGAAGTCCCAGTTTGACTTACTATGTTTTCCACACATTTTGCCTAAGTAACACAGAATATATACAAGCATAGTAACTTGTATATATAAGCATAGTAACTGCTGACTTACTTTGCAAATGAAAGAATTTTAAATAGCTACCTTAACACTTGTTCCACCATCACCTTCTTCACAAACTGTGAAACTGCCTTTAGGAACCTAATTTTAACTTGTCTGGTAATTATACCCATTCCTGTCTAACTTTGTTATTACTGAAGTGCAATGAAATAAATATTTCTTTACGAATATCTATTTTTCAACATAGGATAGAAATTTCATGTTTGATAGCACAACTTTATCTGCTGATCAAAGAAGACTCTTTAATTGCATATCCCAGAGGAGCAGGACTCAGGAGGTCTAACCTCTAGGAACATTCTTCACGTGTGTCTGTCTTGTTACCTTGTCAAGTCATTTCTCCACCCTGTGCTTCAGTTTCTCCATTTGTAAAAAAAGGGACACACTTTTTTTTTTTCTGAAAGCTTTGACAAAGAGCTAGCTTTTGTTATTCTGCAGACCAATAGCATATCAAGACCAGTCTTACATGTACCAGTGAAAGGTACTAAGCATTTTCTGGATGATTATATCTGTACAGCCTATTATATTGAATTTTACAAAATTGCAAGAAATGGGGATTACTGTTTTTTTGTCCTTTACCCTGAAGGTGGTAAAAATAACTTATTTCTCATCAGTGAGAGAAAAAACAAAACTAATTAACTGGAATGGTTATAAGTTTGACAACTTGAAAGAGTACCTTAATTAAAAGGATAAATTAACTGGATTTGTAGAATCTGACTTGCAACATAACTTATTCAAAGAAAAAGTGTGTGGAAATCCTACCTTTCAGCTTCAGTTTGGGACTGAGATTTTTGCACGTTATCAACATAGCATTTTTATTCTGCTATTGTTTTTTCCATATTTATAAGAAATTCCAGGAAGTCATGGGTTTGTAATAAGTTAAAAATGTGCATAGGCCTGAAATCCTTTCTTTTTTTATGTGACTTCTCCATAGCTACTTTGCATTTTACTGTTTTTCTACAAGTTTTATGCAAAAGTCTAAATTTAAGACATAAAAGTCAAGCAAACTAAAATTAAAACAATCTCTCTTTTAACAATTTTTTTAAGTAAAATAGTGCATTTTTCAAGGAATAGTACTCTACACTATTATTCTCACTAATGTGTTTAACTGTCTCACCCATAGCTAAATTTAGATGTCACTGCTAAGACTGGTTATTCTAGATCACAATTGCTATGCAAAGGAATGATTTTAGTGCTGCCTTCACCTAATGTTTTAGCAGAGGCTTCCTCCACAGGACATGTAACCAGCTGCATTAAATTATAGTTTACACAGGATACAAATTCCTTCCTGACTGTAGCATGGTATCAGAGTATACCCTACAACAAGAGATCTGATTAGCCTTATCATTATCTTAGCTACTATAGTTGTGAATGTTATTAATGGGTATAAAATTATCTGTCTTTTCTCTTAAGACCTAGTTGAAATATATTCTCTCATGATTTTCTGCAGTATTAACTGTCTTTGCTGAGACTATTTGGTGCAGAAGCATATTTTATAAAACATTGCATATTTATCTTCTATTTATATTATGATGATGTGGTATTTAAATATACTGTGGGACAAAGATTACAGTAACTGTGTTTTCTTCTTTTTTTTCTTATGTTTTATGATAACCTAATTCAATTTCCTTTCAATATTTCTCTTTTTTTGACTAAATAATTTAACCATTTTCATGTGTTTATTACATACAAATTCTTCCATACATCTCAGACACCTTTGCTTACCCTAGCTGGACCTATTCTACTCCCAAATGTGTCTTAATGTCTTCATGTGTAAACTAGCTGAGCATAAAGAGCATTATAATTTCTGAGTGGCTGTTGCAGGCCATGCAGTCAATGGTCTGTGAACTCAACTTTCTCTAAGTAAATCAGAAACAGGTTATGGTAGCTGTGAAATAAAATATTGGAACAACTGAATTGTTCAAGCCTTCAAGCCTGCACAATGGATTTTTTAGGTGAGATGCAGTATGCGCGGAACTGAACCCACCCTTTAACCCTAAGGTTCATCTGCCAGGGCTGAGCAAGCATGTACAGTGGCAGTGAGGTCCTCAGGACATAGGTTTAATTAGAGTGTCCTTCTCTTAGATGGATGGCCTTACAGGGCTAAGCGAGCTCCATCTGCCCAGGTTTGGGATTAGAGTTGTCCTTCTCCTAGGATGACTGCCAGAAAGCTAACGAGCTCATCCTGCCCAAGGATGTATTGTATCTGACCCTACGGTTTTGACCTGTCTGGCATGGGCAACCCTACCAAAGGCATGTGCCATCACCAGCATAGCTTGCAACCACATAGGGGTACACAGGCTACATTCCTACTATTAAAATGATTAGGGCAAGTCTTACACTTCCTACTTTTCTGTCACCTATCTATATTCAATCCCAGGGAAACACCCAGGATGTAACGAATATATCCAGAACGTACCGAACCTGGGCAGTAGCCGCAGATGAACCAAAACCAAACAAACGAACAAAACCATTCCGGCCCCCGTACCCACCTAGGGCTCGAGTACCTCTCCAGGCCCCAGCTCGGCCGAGACCCCCAACTCCCAGAGGAAACCATTATCCACCCTGACCTTATCCTCCCCGCACCGTGTTACCTCGTATCTTCCCACGCACCGCTTACCTGCCCACCCTCCAGTCCGAGGACCCCCACGGCCCACCCGGTACCCTTCCCCTCCCCCCCCCCCTCACCCAAACCAGGCCAGCAAACCTCTGTGTGCTCCGAGGCTTCCAATCCCTTTCTCACAAGGGCCATCTGAATTGTAATAACATTCTAATTATATATTATTTCCTTTCAGTAAAACACTGAAGTTTCAAAATTTTTCATTATTTCCTGTAAGGTCTCTTACAAATTGTCAACATCTGCTGGTTCCATGATCTGCAGATAATAAACTTAAAATTGAGTACTGACATGGTAGCTCCTAAAGCCTCCTCTCTTCAGTGCTCTTTGGAGACAAGGGTTATTCAGAATATCTCAGAAATGAAAAGCAGTAAGCCTTTAATCAAAGATGCAAGAGAGCCTCCACAAAAATATATTTTGTTGGGATAGATGAAATCAGTTGTACCTTGTCTAGCACTTAAAAAAGAGCTTTATGGATTCTGTGACTGGGTTTCTTGGAACCATGTAAAGGGTATGCAGAGTGAAAGACTTTTGTATCTAAAATGAGAGTAAGGTAATCTGAGGGCCTCTAACTCAGAAACCATGGACTGTCAGAAACTATCTGGGTCAGCTGCTTCCTGAATTGTATAGGTTTGTGCTGGTTTAAGAGTTAACCAGCAGGGGAAATGAACTCAACTCAAAGGAGAGATTATAAGTCAGAATAACAATTTACTAAAATAATACAGTAAGTACAATCATACAAACAAACAATTGGTCTTAACCCACAAAACCCAAATGTATAACCCAGTACCCTGGGGCCTGAACAACGTGGTGTTCCTTGGGCCCCGCTTGAGTCCAAAGTAAAGGGAGAGGGGAAGAACCTGCTGGTGGGAGAGCTGTTGCAGTCTAGTCAAAAGTGGTGATTGCAGTGAGATGCTGGGGGGAGAGCTGTTGCAGTCTGGTCAAAGTGGTGATTGGAGTCCAGTATAGGGTGATCCAAGTCTGTTTGAGAGCGATGAGCCGCAGTCCTTCTCTGGATCCCACAGAGTGGTTAAAAATGTTCCCAGACTCCAAGATTATATATCCTGCAGTTCAGGCAGGAATGCTCAGCACTTCCCTCAGGGCGGGGAGTTCCACAAAGGGTGTGAGGACAGGAGCATCCTCCTATCTCACAGGCCTCTTAACACCTAGTTTATAGCCTGAGGAGGCTCTATGGGCAGATGGTGTAAATGGTTCATTGATAACAGTTTCTGGGAAATGGCATGGAAGGCTATAGAATACACAGTTTTGGGTTACACCCATACCCTGATGAACTGGTCTCAGTTGTCCTAACTAGGACAAGGTTCTAGGCTTGATTCTGCACACAACAAAGCCTGGGCACTTGGGGTACTCCTGCTGAAGAATGAGTTCCAGAAGCCAGGGCAGAAGTTTGTCCTATTTACAGATGAATACATAGTGAGAGATGCACAGAGAAGCCTGTGATATGTGGCTTCTTTAAAATAAATTGAGGGAGAAGAAATGGCAACAAACCAAAACCACTCTCACAATGTGCTTCAGCTGAGTTACCAAGCTCATTTATGTGTCTACCTTAGAATGTCGTGAATTAGGCTTTAAAAGTGCCCATTCCTTCCAAAAGGATAAATAGTGGAGTTTTTGAAGGTCAGTTAAGATGTAAATGTCTTCCTTTGACCTATGTGCTTGAGACAGTTGTGGCTCACCAGAACTCTTTGGCATGCACACTGGCACTGTATGTCTCAGGTAGCGTAAGGAGCCTGTATTTAGTTGCATTAACTTCACCCAGTGTGATCATGTGACTGGGGGATCAAACCTGGAAAGAACTCCCAGATATATCTACCATGCACCAACAGACAGGGACTTCCCTCTGAAAGTTAGCAGAGGCCATTTCTTTAAAAGGAAGGAAAACATAGTTGTGGTGGTTGCTCCCATCTCTCATGTAACAGATTAATATTTTCTTCAGCCCAAATGGCTACAAAAATGTATTCTCCAGTCACTTGTTTAAGTTTCCTTAGTATCAGACATAGGACAGTATGCAACAGAAAGAGCTGGAAAAAGGAATAGGTAAAAGTGATAAAGTAATGCCGCTTTGTAAAATGGAAAGACATTTTGAAAGATTCATTGTACTACATAGGAAAAGTAAAAAAAAAAAAATGAGAATAATGAGCAAACACAACATTAAAGCCTTAAAATCTGCTCCTATAGTCCTGGGTTTATTTTTGAATATAAAAGTAATACAAAAATCCCTGAGGCAGGATATAAAAGTTAAAAAGAGTACCATTTCCTAAACAGGCACTTGTAATAGTCCTTCAGGTTATTCTTTTGCTCTTTTGCCACTGTGTGGCAACTTCTGAAGAGGCTTCTAGGCCTTAAACCCTGAAAATCATTTCCAGAAAGAAGTAGGATGACAGATCCTACCCTTGTCCTGGCCTTCATTATTTTCTTTTGGTCAGTGGGTAGCTCACAAGGTGGATTTTTGGATTGCCCCTCTAATGTTCCTCATGCTGATATTCAACAATATAGGCAGGGCAGATGGATTAGAATTACCTTGAAAATACATATTGCAATTGAAAAATGTGGCCCTAAAATGACATCTCAGCATGACAAAAATTATATTCTTGCCTTCCAAAAATAGTTGCATAATTGGTATCTCTTGATACTTTTCTGGGCAGGATTAAAAAAGAAATGGGTTTGTTTTCTTGTTGAATATTGAAGCTGAAAAAGTCTCATATCGATCAGCAATTCCAACTAATTTACTTGGATTTTTTTGAAAAAAGAAAGAGTAGAAAAGAAAAAGTATCAGTCTTGGGGAAACACCTTAGAAAAATTCTTTGGCATGATTTAATTCTGCCTTCCCTAGATTGTATGTTTGTGTATCAATTTGTGCAAAATAAGAAATATTAAGGTAATAAAGTTCCTCATTCAAGTTATATCACTATAATGACAGTTATGAGAATGAGAGAGAGAGTCACCTAATGCTGTAATTAATATTACTAGTTAGACTGCCTTACATTCTGAGAGAGTATAAGGAAGCAAATAAATTATGTCTATAGAAAAAATTGCTACTAATTCATAAGACACTACTCCCAAGGTGAAGACAGTTATGAGACTGATCTTCTTCCACCTTTTTCTTAAAGACAACATATGAAGATAACACTGTTTTCCGTTTCCAAGACTTCGCCGAATACTTTTTTCTGCTCTTCTTTGGAATCATATTCTCATTGATGGGCCATGTTTGGCTGTCATAGTGTATTTTTGGTTCTATGTGTACTCCAGAATAATTTCCAAACTAATTGTGCCACACTGCTCATTGGGAAGATTCACACTCTCTTTTCAGATAATTTTATCTGGCCCAGAGTGTCACAACCCGCTAGTGAATTAAATCTGTGTTTCAGTGCTCTCTGGAAAAAAGGGATAACTGCCTTGGAAATGCTCAAGTCTGAACTGCTAACCTCTTATTCTCCAAACGGAATGAAAATGGCCACTGCTTATTAAAAATGACCTCAGGTCTCTTCTAACTTCCAAATATGAGCCTCACATAAATGTCCCAAGCTACACTCTTCAAGGGACTACATTCTCAATTTCAATAGAAGAGATGATTTAATTCCAGACCAAGGCAAGTTCTGTGGATTCTTTTAATTCACTAGTATAGACAGAATTGCTCCTGATTCTCCCTACTGCTCAGCTCAATACTTTGTGAAAAACCAGCAGACACAGTTCCAAAGAATTGTATAAAAGGATTAGTGATCTTTCTTAAGGCCCCAAAATTTTTCATGGTGCCATGGAGGCTGGGAGACTGAAAAAGGGGAACCTCCTTAGGGAGTTATACATTAAAGACTGTTGTCCAGTTTGAAATGTGAGTGAACTACATTATTTGTGCCAATTTCTTTTGAAGTAAGAGTTCTGGAATCCTTTGTTGAACTCAGGGACATGAGGACTGTAGCTACTACTTTTAAACTAAATTCTAATTCAAGCTTTCTTCTTCTCATTGTAAAGATGAGAGCAGAAAGGAGGACTTAGATGTACTTTTCTTCTTTTTGGAGTAGATAGTGTCACTGAAGTTAACTTCTCATTCAAATTCCTGGTATATGAAGGCAAAAAAATTAATATGCTACACAATGCACTACTTTGCTTCATCTTGAACATCCTCTCCACACAGGCTAGAAAAGTACTGTGTTTTCATACATACATATGAAATCATCAGGAAAGGTTTTGTTTGTACTCTTTTTTCCTTGTGTGTTTTTTTTGGTTTTTGTTTGTTTGTTTGTTTGTTTGCTTGTTTTCCCTGTAAGAATGGAGTCAAATAAGTCTTTCTGGATTATGATCCTTGATTTCAGCAGCATTTGAGTTGATGAATGGAAAGAGAGCAGCTAGATTTAAATAAATTAGACTGACACAAAAGACATGGAAAAAATAAAACCCTGAAGGTCTTAAAAACTCTTAAAATATGCTTAAAAACTCAGTGCAATTGAAATCCAAAGAAACAAGAAAATATGAACACAAATATGCTGCTGACTTACAGGTGATTTATTCTTTGGTTTTTTTTCTGTAGATGGCTTTGAGAATGCTGGAATTTTCAAATCATAAAACTAATACTGGTAGATATTTTGGGAGTAGGATAGAAGTATTCTTAAATATGATATAGTGACCAAAAAAACTATTTTGACAATTTCAGTGACCTTCACATGTTCTAAATGAACCTCCAGCATTCATAAGAGCAAGCTCTCAATAATTATCACCCTGTTAACCATTCAGGTTCTTATGCCTTCGGAGATCTGAACTTTGGAAATTATATCGAAATTATTGTCTCACAATCATTAAGTACTGTTTACTGAATTTCCTGTTGAAAAAGTAGACAGTACCACCTTGAATTACTCTCCATTCCTGAATATTTAATTAATATGGAACTTGAGTGTGATTTAGATGTCCTGGCATTATGTGTGTCATTCTACTGTAAATAAATAGATGCTTTAACTTCACCAGTGCACAAAGTTAAATGTCAGAAAACTGTATTTGCATATTTACACAGAATAATTACATGCTGATCAGAACAGTGTAATTAGGGATACTAACATAAAATGTTAACTAAGAGCCCATGTATTTGCAGAAATAAAAAAGAAATCAATGGGAGCAAACAATAAAAAAGATGCTGAATGTTTACTGTCTGCTGTGTAAAGTGAAGAACTGCAAAAACTTACAGAATAACTGTAATGCTCTTCAACCAGGTATTTAAATTAATTCTTACCTGGTAAAATTGTCATATATTCTCTTTATTTCTAATTTTTTTTATTTTTGAGAGCTCTTAACACCACAATGGAGAGCTGGAGATCTTGACTGATCTAATGTATTTAAATTTCCCTTATGGAGAACAGGATTTGAAGTGCTTGGGATTATAATCAAAATGAATTTGATGGTTCATCTCAGCCTCTAATGGATTACAGTATGAATGTCATCAACTTTACATTACAGTAAAAAGTGTGATTGCCTTCTGTATTTAGAAATGGCTGAAGTCCATCTTTTGATCCCAGAAGGAATGCAGAGAGGGAATGAATATCAGTCTTCATTCAGAAGAGTCTATTTGCTGAGCACCCACTTTCTGAAGAAACATTGCAAATATCAAATTAACCCCAAGGTGTGAATCATAGTTTTGCAATGCTGGAATGAAATGTTGATATGCAAGATGTTAGTAAAAAATGTTTCTGTTGATAGTTGTCCATTTTTCTCTTTTTATTTTCAGATGCTTTTTGAATCTTGCATCTGTAACTAGAACTGTGTGAAGTATGGGTGAAATTGCAGCTGAAAAACTAAAAATTTGAGACAATAACACATACCAGCTTTAAGAAGCAGATTGGCTTCAGCAGTGTCTTCCCTTTGTAATATGTCAGTGTTTTCCCTCTGTAATATGCATTCACTATCTGTACGACATTTTTAGGCAGGACTTTTTGTGGAAATAGATAATATTAGGATAATAGAATAGGATAGTCACGTGAAGTGAGTTCACTAACATAATTCACATTTTCAGTCAGGCAAAAACAACTGTGTCAACATAACTTCAATTCGATTTGATTCCTGTTTTGAATTTCAAGTACTTAACAAATGGCTCACAAGTAACTATTCTTAGAAACTATATGTCAAATCACTATCTAAAGATATATGTGGAAAAATAGTCATAGCTCGTAATTAACTCATAAACAGGAAAGAGAAGCAAAACTCATCTAATAGAACTATTTGTTAGGAACTGTGACTTCAGCTTTAATTTTTATAAACTGGACTTTTCTGTTTTGCTGTGATACCTATAAAATTTAAGTTTCTATGTTTTGAATGGTACCAGGCTGACCAAACTGTGAATTTAGCCTATATATCCATCTGTGTGCTAGACATTTTGTCCAGAAGGATCCTGGGTTAGCCAGTATTGAAAGCTTTAATGAAATCCAAAAAGTTTACATCAACTGGCTTCTTTTGGTCAGCTACGTGGGTTATCTTGTCATAAAAAGCAGTCAGGTTTCATAAGCAGGACTTCTGTCTTATGAAGCTGTGCTGGCTGTGACCAATGACAGCATTGTGTTTCAAGTGTTTTTCAATACTTCCCTAAATAATCTTCTCCGTAGCTTTACCAGGCACTGAAGTGAGACTGACAGGTCTGTACTTTCTGCGGTCCTCCTTCTTGCCCTTCTTAAAAATTGGGTCAACCTTTTCCAGCTTCCAATGAGCTGGGACCTCTCCAGATTCCCAAGACCACTCAAAAATCATAGACAGAGGTGTTGCAATGACATCAGGCAACTCTTTGAGGATTCTAGGATGAATCCCATCAGGCCCCATAGATTTGTAGGGATCCAGCTGGAGCAGTAGATCCCACACAACTTCAGGTCAACTGGAAGCTGATCTTTCTCACAGCCATGGTCCTCCAGCTCAGGTCCGTCATCCGTGTTGAAGACAGAGGCTAAGAAAGCATTAAACACCTTGTGAGGTGACCATCCTCATCCTCTAATGGACCAATGATATTTCTATACTGCCTGTTGCCATTAATATATTTGAAAAAACTCTTGTTCCCCACATTTCTGGCCAGCTTCAACTCCAGTTGAGCTTTGGCTGCACAAACTTTCTCCTTACAATGGCAAGCAGCATCTCTGTATTCTTTCTATGTCACTTGACCTTGCTTCCACAGGGCATACACCTTCCCTTTTTTTGCCTTATTTCCAAGAGAAGATCCTTGCTTAGCCAAGCCAGCCTTCTGCCTTGTCTGCAGGGAATTGCCTGCTGCTGTGCCCTTAGGAGGTGATGTTTGAAAAGTGACCAGCACTGGTGGACCCCAGCACCTGCAAAAACATTTTCCCAGAGGACCTTAATTCCCTGAACAGACTGAATTCTGCTCTCCTTATGCCCAGGGTTGAGGGCTTTCTGACTCTTTTCCTCCTTTCAACAAAGATTTTAAACTCGATCACTTCGTGGCTGCTCTAACTGAGATGGTCACCAATCTCCACTTCGCTCATGAGATCCACTCTGTTGGCAAGCAGCAGATCAAGGAGAGCACTTTTCTTAGTTGGCTCCCTTGGGACCTGTTCCATCAAGTTGTCTTCCAGGTCTTTTGGGAATCTTCTGGCCTGAGTTGTAGCACCTGTGTGATATTCCCAGTTAATTTCTAGCAAGTTGAAGTCCCCCATAAGGACAAGGACATTGACTTGGAAGTGTCTCTTAGTTCCTCAGAGAATAGTTCTTTGGCATCATTGTCCTGGCTGGGAGGTCTATAGCAGACTCCTACCATGACAACCACGTTATTTGTTTTCCCCTTCATTCTCACCCAGAGGCTCTCAACTGTGTCGTTGCCAATGTGACCTCCATACATTCTAACCCTTCTATTACACTGCGACCCCTCCACCTCTTCTGCCCTGCCTATCCCTCCTAAAGAGTCTGTAACTCTCCAACACAGGACTCATCCCACCAGGTTTCACTTATGCCAATATCATATCTCTTGGACTGGGCCAAAGCTTCGAGCTTCTCTTGTTTGTTCCTCATGCTGCATGCATGTGTAGAAACATTTCAGGTGTGGTGCATTGTAGCTAATACCTCGTGAAGCAGATTAAAGGATCCCATGAGTGCTTGTTTTCTCAAGTTTTGGCACACCATCTGTGTATTTTTGTTTTAAACATTTGTTTTGGTTTTAACCTGGGACTCAAAGTGTAGATGAATATTTCTGTGTCCTGCAGGTGAAGAAAATGTTTGCAATGGCCCTCTCTCTGGGAAACTGCAGGATGATGTGTAGGTCAAGATGATAGACTTAAGCTTCCTTAGGCAAATCCACCATGAAAATCAAAATCACTTATAGGGGTTAAACACAAATGAAATGTCACTTTGCTCACTTTCTAATCCTCAAAAGTTTCATAAGATGCTATATATTTTCTCTGAAGGCATTTTCTTATTGCACTACCACAGCAAATATCTGATTTGAATATGTAAGAGTAGAAACTGCAGATTTAGAGTGGAGGGTATTCTTAGTATCTGCTGATGAACTAGGGACTAGTCATGCCCATGATCAGCCTCATTGGACATTTATAAACCCAGATGAGGACAAAAAATCACAGAATGGTTAAAGTTGGAAGGGATGGCAGTGGGTCATCTGGTCAAACCTCCCTGCTCGTCTTAGAGCACATAGCAGAGGAGTGCAGCCAGACTGTTCTTGAATATCTCCAGTGAGGGAGACTTCAAAACCTCTCTGGGAAATCTGTTCTAGTGTTTGCTCACTCATATTCAGAGGGAGCTTCCTGTGCATTTGTTTATGCCCATTGCCTCTTTTCCCATTTCTTGGCACCACCAAGAAGAGCCTGGTTCCATCCTCTTGACACCCTCCTTTCGGATACTTAGAGACATTGATGAGGACCCGTCTCAGTCATCTCTTCTTGAGACTGAGCAGGCCCAACTCTGTCAGTATATCATTGTAAGGAGATGTTCCAGTCCCTTAAGTATCTTTGCTGATGGACCCACTCCAGGAGCTCCGTGTCTCTCTTGTACTGAGAAGCCCAGAACTGCACACAACACGCCAGATGCAGCCTCACCAGGACTAAGTAGAGGGGCAGGATCACCTCCCTCTACCCGCTGACACAATGCTTTTCCTAATGAACCCTAGGATATCACTGACCTTCTTGGCCACAAGGGCACACTGCTGGTGCATGGACAGCTTGTTGTCCACCAGGATTCCCACATCCTTCTTCACAAAGCTTCTTTTTAGCAGATTATACAGCAGCCTGTGCATGGGGTGCAGGACCCTGCACTTTTTTTGTTGAATTTCAGATTCTTCTTTGCCCATCTCTCCAACCTGTCGAGGTCCTTCTGAAGGGCTGCACAGCTCTCTGAGATATTGACCATTCCTTCCAACTTTGTGTCATCAGTGAACTTGCTGGAGAGGCATCTAGCCCCTCATCCCAGTCATTGATGGATAAGTTAAACAATACTGGGCCCAGTATTGAACCTTGTGGGACATTTGTTAAATAACTACATATATATTGAAAAGAAGAAGAAATTAATAAAATGTTCTTATCCCTGCTCTCAGAAAAAAAGCAGTGAACTCGTTCGGGGCCTTGAAAATTTGTTGATGAAAATTGAATGACTGCATGGGTGACTCTGTAGCAGAAGAAAAGAGGAAATGCTTCCCTACCTTGCAAGGGCACTGTTCATACCTGGCATTGAGGTAAAGGATCTTAAATTTTGCTTCTTAAATGCAGAGCAAATTGGACTCTGGGAAATTATTGGAATAAGTTCTATAGCTGACTTTGAACCTTGAACATCTGAAGCTACCATTTGTCAAGAGTTAATACCTTATAGGACTGGTGGTAGAAATAGAGATATGTCTTCCACATGGAGTAGCACAGAAGTGATGGTCCAGGTTTCTATAGACTGAACATAAAGTTTTTTCCAAAAACTAGAACTTCACAGTCATAGACTAATGACAAATTGTGTTCCAGAAGAGAGAGCAGAGCTGTGCTGGGCCACCGGTACATTTTTTCTTTATACACCTGTCCTGGCAGATATAGCAAATGACATGAAAAACTACAGCCACAAAAAAATGGCCAGGGAAATAATTGTTATATTACTTGAATGCATAACCTGCTCTCTTTTACTCCTAGGAAAGTTTTCTGTTCCTCACATGAACTCAGTATGTTCAGGAGAAGAATAGACTGGAAAAGGCATGTGAAAGGAAGTATTTAATTTCCCCAGGTTTCTGAATAAATATTTCTGGTTGGTAAATTTGCCTCTGATTAAAGACCTTGTATTTCAAGTCAGTTCCAGGTGTCACCAGCTACAACACCATCAGATTTATGGATAGCCAGGTACTGTTGGTCTTAATGACAGAATACTTTTCAAAATGAACTTTCATGGCTTTTGCTTCTGATTTTAGGACAAGCATAGGACCGATTTCTATTTGACAGCAGCCACAAATAAGCCTGTTTTCGTAGGCTGCATGTTAGTGTTCAGTGTTCCTCAGAACATGCAAAACTCCCCAGCAAGAAAATATGAGCTACATTAATTACTAAATGAACCTAGAGCACATCTTCAGTAAAAACACAGAGACAAGTAAAACATGGATTTTATGGGACAGAGAGAGATTATCGGTCTAGGCCCTCTGAGGATGGCATTCTTTTGAATACCTTAGGTTTGGATGATGGACTTGTGATTGCCCATAGACTTTTATAGCCACTGCAGCCTTTCAGACAAGACACAAGAACACAATGACATGAATTCCAGGAACATGTCTGAATGACATGAAACCCTTTCAGTGTTTTTGCAACCCCCAAGAACTAGATTTAGATTTCTCCTTCCTTACTCCTTCGTAATGCAGATTCCAAAACCATAGACCATTTTCCTGTTGTCTAACATATCCAGGTTTGTATCTACTCTCATAACATATTAACACTCTTGTTCTGAAACCGTTTTCATGAAAATATATTTTGAGAAGCAGGCTATTTTTAAATTGATGCTTCCTTTTCCTTCATGTATCTCCACTACCATGGACCATATTATACATTTTTGCTTTCAGCCTGTGCTTCTACATGCCGTCTCCACATCATTCACAGACTTTTGGTGAAAGCAGCCAGATCTTTCTGATATCTATAATTCAGATCTTCCATAGAGTAACAAACACACCTTTACATACATATCAATGCAAAATTCAAGCAAAAGACAATGGAAGAAGACAATCTAACAAATGCAGTGTTGTACAGTGATAGTACCTAGGGCCACATTTGTCATGCATTTAAATTATACTTATTTATAACAGTGATGACCATATGAGTTTCATATTGGGTCTGTCTGAGATGGAGTTAATGTTCCTCATAGCAGTCCTCATAGTGCTATGCTTTGAATTGGTATCTGCGAAGTCTTGGTAACACACCAGTGTTTTGGCTACTGCTGAGCAGCAATGGCTCAGCATCAGCACTGTCTCCAACATTCTGCCCTCACCAGTAGGCTGGTGGTGGGCAAGATCTTGGGAGGGGACATAGCCAGAATAGCTGATCCACATTGACCAAAGGGATATTCCATACCGTATGGTACCTTTTCAGCAACAAAACCTAAGCGAAAGAGAAGGAAGGGCTCGGGGAGAGGAGGGAAGCTTTTGTTATTTTAATGTCTGTCTTTCAGACCAACCTCGGTGTCTGCTGAAGCCCTGCTTCCTGGAAAATAGCTGGACATGGCCTTCTGGGTAGTAGAAAATAAATCTTTTATTTTCTTCTGCTTTTGCTTTATTAAACTGCCTTTATCTTGACCCACAAGGGTATTTTTTCATCTTATTTTCTCCCTCTCCTGTCCTGCTCAGAAGGGGAGTGATAGAGCAGCTTGGAGGGCACCTGGCATCCAGCCAAAGTCAACCAACCACAAGTATGGACAACGTTAATTCAAGATTTCATCTCATTTGTTACTATAATATGACATTATGTGGTAATTCTGTGCATGAAGGTGTGCC